AAAGTTCTCTTGCAAACTACCAAGGACTTTTGGACTCGTCCAGCCTCCATTAATGTCTCTAATAAGCGTCTGGATCACATGTACAAGGTCCAGGAATCAGGGGCTGAGTTTTTATACACACACCCAAAGCCCAATTCTTTGGTCGTCTCCTCATCCACAAAAGGAAAAGCGAGTCACTCTACTCCCTCAGAAAAAGAAGGGAAAAAGTTGGATTCGGTTGGTAGAAAATTCTACACTGTCGGTGCAATGGGCATTAAAACGGCGAACTATGCCGCCTGCATGGGCCGTTATCAATTCAATTTATGGAAGCGTTTGAATGATTTCCTCCCGCACGTGCCCAAAGAGTGCCAACCTCAGATTAAAAGGATTCAGAATGAAGGGATGGTCTTGGCTAGACACCAAATTAGTGCTGCCAAGCATTCCCTGGAATCCGCTAGTAAGACTCTAGCAACCTCTGTAGCGTTACGCAGACATGCCTGGCTCCGCTCTTCATCATTGCCATATGACACCAGATCCTCGGTGGAAGACCTTCCCTTTGAAGGTTCTGGATTGTTTAGCTCCACCACTGACACGGTTCTGCAGGAAATGGATAAGAGTATCAAGACGTCCAAGAGTTTGGGGATCTCCCCCACGACCAAATACTCGAAATCCAAGCAGTGGCCTAGGCAACCTTGGTCGACCAGGCAACCGTACAACAAATCACCTACGGATCAATGGCAAAGACCTCCCTCCTCTCAGTCACGGTCTTTTCCCCCGAAAAATAAGGGACAATCGTCCGGTGCCTATAAGTCGAAATTCCCTAAGAATCCCAAACAGGGACTTTGACTTCAACCTTACTGCTCAGACTCGCCTTGCACCCTTCCTGCACGCATGGCTCGCCATTTCTACGGACAAATGGGTGCACTCTATAATAAGAGATGGCTATCTCATAGAGTTTTCTCTGACTCCCAGAATCTCCCGTTTCATCAGAACCCCGGCGTCTCCTGCCCTGCTACAGGAGGTACAATCGCTGACACAAAAAAACGCTATAGAGAAAGTCCCGATGGCGGATTGTTGCCGCGGGATTTATTCCAAATATTTCACAGTCCCCAAGAAGGACGGAGGACTTCGTCCAATCATGGACCTCCGTTTTCTCAATCGGTTCATCATTTACAGAAAGTTTCGCATGACCACGTTGCAAAGCATTTTACCACTCCTGTCTCCAGGGACTTGGATGGTCACTTTAGATCTCAAAGACGCTTATTTTCACGTCTCCATCCATCCTCGTCACAGAAAGTTCCTCAGATTCGCAGTCGGGGAGGACCATTACCAATTCAAAGCCCTTCCATTCGGGCTCTCTACCGCCCCCAGGGTTTTTACGAAGGTAATGGTGGTTGTCGTCGCTCATCTTCGCCTTCAGGGCATTCAGATCTTTCCGTATATAGACGACTGGTTGATGGTGGCAGATTCAAGAGAATGTCTCCTTCAGCACATCACCATCACATTGTCGGTCCTATCCTCCCTTGGAATTCTGGTGAATTTACAGAAATCCATGCTGCAACCTGCAACTCGCGTGCAGTTCATAGGAGCTGTCATAGACTCCCTAGCCACTCGGGCGTACCTTCCTCGCCAACGGGCAGATACCATTCGTCTGGAAATTCAACGTTTGTTCCAGTCCAACGTGACATCAGCGGTCCACATTCAGCGGACCTTGGGTCTCATGGCAGCCACCACTTCCGTGATCGAATATGCACGCCTTCGCATGCGCCCGTTGCAGCTGTGGTTTCTAAAGAAATTTCGCCCTTCCATCCATCCTCCGAGCCTTCAACTGGTAGTGCCTCCGCAGGTCCTCGTCTCCCTGCAGTGGTGGCTCGTGGACACCAATCTGTTGGCGGGTGCACCGTTCCAACCGATCGTTCCCGTAATGTCCATCACCACAGATGCCTCCCTGTGGGGTTGGGGTGCTCATACAGACGACACTTGTGTGGGTGCTCCATGGCAACCCCTTTGGAAGAGTCATCATATCAACTATCTGGAACTGCTGGCCGTAAA